ACGACATAAATGAAATTCTTTTCGTGTGCTTGTCCACTTGACTTGGAGAAAGAACCTTTGAAAGACAACACGAAAACTCTCGGAACTTTTAAACCTAAACATTTAAAGAGACTAGAGAATGGTTTATGCTTACCACGTGTATTCTTGTTTATTAAGCTTCGAAACACGAAACGTGGTGAACCTGTACCTGTTATTGATTACAGCAAATGAGTAAAACGAAAAAAATCCAGAAAACGAATGTCCTTAGAAGTTAGATCACGAGATTCTCTAGGGACTAGGCAGAAGAGAAAAGAAGACGTCCACCATTGAAGAATGACTTCGCTCTTAGAACGCCACAAAGGATTTTATGTGCTAGAGTGATTTTAAAATATTTTAAAAGTCATATAGAAAAAACAGCATTTTTTTTTTTTTAATATTGCCTTTACTTTAGGATATCAATATCCTGTGTTGTTAGGACGTTTCACAAACATAGATTTCACGCGAACAAATACTCAGAGAACTATTTGTGGGACACACAAATAGTTGTCCCGTGTGGGAATCGAACCCACGACCCCCGACGCCGAAGCCAATACCTTGACAACTGAGCCATGAAGTCATAAAATTTATTTATCCCAATATATAATTATATATCCCAATATCGAACTCATAAGTTGCTATTTACTTGGTGTCTTGTGTAACACTGCTTATTAAAGATTATCAATTAAATAAATAAATGAAATAAGAACTATACAGCGTGTCGTTACCATCGCGACAATAAATGAACACACATATAGGGGATAACTTTTTAAAGTTGTATTACACATTCAAATTCTTTAAACATCAATATTTACAGAGTTATTAAATTTTCCAAAACAAAGAATTTTAGAACACCCTTACCTGGAATGTTGTAAGGTGTAAGGTGTTGAAATAAATAAATAAATATCCACTTATCATTCGGGGCGAGTGACGCAATAACCGATTCAAAGGGGATATCCTGTCATCTTATGATTTATGCGGTTTTCAGACACCATGAATTCATAGAAAACATAAAAAATATTGCTTATTTTCTTTATTTAGTTAGAAAATATAAAGAAAATGTATATTGATGACTCCGTGGGTTGTAGGTTTCGACCTCCACACGAAACTACTATTTTTGAGACCCACAGATAGTTGTTTCGTATCTGGGTGTTTGTCCGCGTGAAATTTATGTTTGTAAAACGACCATACAACACAGGATAATGTTATCGTAGAGTAAGGGCAATATTGAAAAAAAAAGAAAGAAAAATTCATAAAAGCAATATAGCGTATGCAATGCCTTATGCGTGTCAATTATATGTGGTCTGGCAGGCTTTTTTTACCTAATATCTGGTACATGAGCATTGCACAGCTATAAACTATCATCTGATGAAATAGTACGTTGTTTACTATTAAATAAATCAGTTGTCCAGAAATTACTCATTAGACTATGGATGTAATATATTATAACTTAATAAATTTCACCAAAACGAAAAAGCCAATCTAAGCAAACAAGACCTGATCCTAATCGGAAAAGACCCTTAGCAATAAGCTTCTCAAATACCCTGTAAGCCAAGTAAAGCCTTTGAAAAAATATAATTAAATAATCCCGCCTAATCCCCGGCTTGTGTTAGACAGGTAATAATGTCACGACGAGTGATCCGCTTGGTGCTAATTACAAGCGAAAGCGGATTATTGTCTTTGTCTATTATATTATTATTGTCTTAAGTTCATTATATTTCTGGTTTCAGTCCTGGTCTTTATAAAGGTTTCTCTGTTAGTCTATATAAATAAAAATGAATGTTGATCCACGGAAGGTTTTAATACTATAAAAAAATTGACTTTTAATATTCGTTTTTGCACATTCGCCATTCGTAAATATTTATAATTCTTATTTAATGAATGCTGGCGAATCTCACAAATTAAATACTATGGAAAAATATGTTAAATAATAACGAAATATATTGTTCCACTACGATTTACGTAGAGATATTATATTATCTATCTAGAGTAGGGGCCCACTTTATTTAAAGGTGGCAACGCATTTGCGACGGTTATTACTTAACATCAGGTGAACCGCCAGATTACTTGCCACTTTGACTACTGTGTAGCAAATAGGATCGTTTGAACCCGAAACTCAATAAACTTTTCATCAGAGAAGGTGGCAAAACAACAGGTGATTCTCATCATGACGGAAGTAACCATCACTCCCAGGATATGTGTAATACCAAGAACCGTCAACACCAGCGATGTTGTGGTGATACTATCTGCCGACTAAGATGAGTTGGATGTTAGTACCTCACCTGCGAGACGAAACTATAAATCACATAATTATACTACTTCTTTACGTCGGTCTCCTGGGAGGTCATGATACTCTTATGCTGTGGACAAGACTGCACACACGTGCATCTCCGTGCATACCTTTCTTGCGTTTTTCTTTCTAGATCCAAAGAGGCCGCAATGGATTAGACGCGATTCGCATATAATTTAAGGTGGGAAATAAACAAATCGCTGCATATTGAAAAGAAAAAGAATATTTATTTATAAACTTATATCATTTTAATATTCGTTTTTGTACATTAGCCATTCGTAAATATTTATAATTCGTATTTAATTAATACTGGCGAATATCACAAATTAAATACTATGGCAAAAATATTTTAAATAATAACGAAATATATTTTTCCACAAGATTTACGAGAGCTGTACTTCGCTTTCCGTATAAAAATATTTATATAATAACGTAATTTAATTTAGTATCTAATGTTTTTTAATTTAATTATCTAGACTTAACACACAGTATGATTTAAAAATATTTCATGAACTAGAATATAATTCGTCTTCAAGTGTTGTATATATATACATAATAAAAAACATAAATCACACATGTGACAGTTTCCAGAAATGTAACATTGCGAGGAATTTGATGTAAGCAATTAGTAATTGGCTTATTTTCAAGGCAGTACATGCATTCGTGTTATATCCATATAACAGCCTGTATCTTCCTTCGTTACTCATTCTACTATTATATTGGAATGATCATTTTACATAAAAATGTGTTCCATAAAATAACGGGTCCCACTAGCCGAGGCGGACTAATTTTCCTCTCAAAGATACAATATATACATTTTTACATTCCTTATATACATTTACCGAAAAAACCTATTATAAAAGGCACAATTACATCACTACATAGTATAAAACAAAGGCGTCCCGCTGTCTTTCTGTCCCTATGTATGCTTAGATCTTTAAAACTACGCAACGGATCTTGATACGGTTTTTTTACTAGATAGAGTGATGATTGAGGAAGGTTTATTAATACATTGCACCCGCGCCAAGCTGGGGCGGGTCGCTAATTAAAATATAAATCAGTTTAATTGCCGCCACTTCGTGATTTATTCAGATCACGCGACACGTTCTTAATTAATATTCGTTTTGAAAATAATAACAATTTCATGAACAACAGAAACTATTTACAATATTGACTACTATTAATACTTAGTGACAAATTTTTACTATACATTAATTTTTATTTTATCAAATGAAGTTTACCGCGTGAAAATAGTTTGCTAAGCAGAAATTTTACATTGGTTTAACTTTAACGTATACAGTTATGTAATAAATAACAATAATTTCTACTTCTATTATCATACTTCTATACATTTAACGTTCGATATGTATACAGTCAGATTAGGTAATTATCAATAAATTATACTTAGAGAATAACACTCACCTAAATCACTGTAATCGATAATGTAAAATAGTATTGGAGGCGATTGCTAAAGTGGTCATTTTCTAAATAAAATAGATAATTGTTTATAGACACAAAGTGTCCACAATTTGATAACTGTTTTGAAGATAAGTACGTTGAGATTTTCGTCGGTGTTATGTGGCCAAAGCGTCGTCCGTTTAGAAAAATATTCTTGTAAATGTAAAAATTCATAATAATCCCGCTTAAGTTACCTGCAATTATTTCATTCGTATCCTTTACGGCTAGACATACACATACTCAACAATTTACACTCAAAGTCTGGCATTTGTAATATAAGCGATCGTTATATCTAACAAAAAGTACGCACGAACATATCGATATTACAACATATCGAGTCTTATATCAAACTAAATTATATCTATGAAAGTATTATGGAGAATATCGTTGATGTTTGAAAACAATTCGCGATTACATTGACTTTATGTTTGTGTCAACTGCTTTGTCCCACGAAATTAAAATGTCAATTGCTTATAAAATTATATAGTTTTTGAAACATAATTTTACACAATCTACTCCCAAACTAAGGAAAGCTTGTACTATGGGTATAAGGTAACTGATAAACATTGTATTCTTTTGTAAACAAACTCATATTATAGATGTATAAACACCTTGACAAACCACTATGTTCATCACACAATATTTTTCCAGTAGTGGGATCGAACCACCCACTGGTGCAAGAGACAGGTCCACTATCCAAGACGTCTATCGAGCATAAAAAAAAAGGCTCTCTTTTTTGCGCAGGTTAGAGAATATTGCTGTTAACGTATGATTGACAAACATTGACAATTCAGCCGTTGGGTCTTTAAAAGTATAGACATCAGCTTTAACTATCACTTGCCTTTTTCTTCTTAATTAATCCTTATAAATATATCATGGGTCTTATAATAAACTAGCTGGCAGAAAATATAAGAATATAAGTTTAAGTGTGTATTATTTGATTCCCTATTTATTTAACACTACACGAAAAGTTCGACGTTACTGTTAACTCAAGAAGTTAACTGGCCTTTGGTATTCCGCTTACTCTTTTATCTAGCTTTGAAGCCTATGATGGCAGACATTATTATAATTTATATTTATATAATCTCCGTTGGCGCATACTATGCGTTGTCTAAAGTTTGAAAGGTACCTTATGAGCCTACGGACGTATTCGCACACAGATCAGCTTGACCTGCTCTTGGTCCGGGCGAGCTGAGCAGCCTTCGGAGAACTGAGTTTGTTGACCAACATGTCATCACAATCTTGTCCTGATCGGCGACGTAGTGCTCTCATAGCTCTCGAATATTCTGCTACCGCTCGTGGTGAATACAGGAAGCACATCGGGTTTCATATCTTCTGCTACAGTCTCTTCTGTTCTGTCCGAAACCTCCTTTTCGTCCGGCGTTTTCTCGCGGACATCACTGGTGAAAGTGCGTTTGCGACCCGGCAGCTTGCGGGCGATCTTCGCCACTAAAGGATGCAGCAGTCTTTCGTCGAAAGCGTCCTTCTCGCTGGCGGTGAGCATCCCGACGACGATGCCGAACAGTATGCACGTCATTGTGCCTATCACCGCGTACCACATGTACGACACCGAGTACATCTTCATAAGACCATCGGAACTGTAATTAAGAATCGTGAATTGTTACATCTTTATTACGAAAGGTATGAGAACTAGTTTTGTCGAAGGCTTAAACGAAAATAATATAAGCATTTGAGTGAATGAATCACAGTTATTATTAATATTAACCACTAATAACTCGTAGTAAATAAAAGTAAAGGTCTATATTAATCCCACAGCTGAACAAGGCCTCTGTACAGAGAGTATTTGGGTGAAGTCTTTGCGATCCCACTGCGGCTTGGCAGACTTAAAATAGTACAAATATATGTATTGTACTATTTTTTCTTGTTATTATTTCAAAATAAACATGTTTTCTCACGATATTTTCCTTCACATTTGAGCGAGTCATAAACGTAACGTAAAAGTCGGAACGTAAAATTGCATCTAACAATTTCGCTCGTGCCAGCACTGGGAATTGAAATCAGGTTGCTCGAGTGTACCAATTTAAAATCGCTCGATCGCGCGGACTGAGTTATCACATCTAATAGTAATAAATAAAATTCTTAAACTAGCCCCCGCATATTTGATGTACGTTCATGTATTAGTCACTTACATGATAGAAAACGTGTCCTGTTGCGCATACTGGGTGACGTCCGGAGTCTGAACCAACGGCGATACTTCTATCAAAGTATGATTTACACCGATCGGCAGTGGTTTTTGGGTGAGCACGCTTATGGTCGCATTGGGGCATTGCTGTGGAGTAACAAAACGTTTTGATTATTGCCTTTAGTAGTTCTGGACATCGACCATCATTTACATAATATTTTAATGGATTATGAAAAATTCACGGTAATAGGCGGTTGTTTAATTATTTTTATACAGAATCAAACTTCTCTGGCAATGTCAAGACAAACTGAAGCTCTTTTGGAAAGTGGACATCAATGGTGAATGACGAGGGATTTAAATATTACATATTTAAAAACATTCTCTAGAGCAGTAACTCTAATAACTTGTGAAATACCAAATTCATTGATATTTCTTCATCACAGTGAACGTAAAAGCAATATTTAAGCTGCACGGTCATACAAGTGATTGTTAATAAATAGCACCACAACTCATACTGACAGTAATCACGCACATATATAAAAATTAATAATAAACAAAAATTAACTTATTTGTTAGTTTAACTAAATCTATGCTAGCGGCACAAGCAACTGGCATTGATCAAACGACATGTATTTAAAACTATATCGTCAAAGTTTTTATCGTTACGTCATTTTGGAGCGACAATAATGTTTCCATGTTTTATTTGCATTCACTGAGCATTAGAGAGTTATCATTATAATAAACAATAGATCAACCATCAACTAAATCATGACAACAGCAATAACATTAAAACATGTAGAAAAGTGCAGAGATTAGCACTTAAACTTTAAAATTTAGCAATAACATTTATTTTATCAATGATTTGACGAATTCGAGATAATGATCGTACATCAGAGGCTATCAGAGTTTCAACATTCCAATTAATCAAAAACGCATAGTCAATAATGCAACTCAAATTTACAAACCTCAACAGAAAGCGGCAGTCTCTCGACTTTACTGTTGACGTACAAAAGCCTGCCGGCCGCCATCCACGTGGTGATGAAGTGAGAAGCGATCATCCCAGTGAGAGCGCCTTTGCCGTTCGCGACTGGGAACATCGCCGCCAGCAAAAAGACGCCCAGCAGGGCCCCTGAGGTGGCCGACGTCACCAGTAAGGAGCCTTCGACCACACCGCCGACCATTCTCACGCACAGCGATAGACTCATTATAAGGATCGCTGGAAACAAATTAAATTAAGTTGCCCGAAAGCTTATTTAAAATTTGTGCTAGAAATTGTGCAAAGTGTAAGATTCTGAACGTTTAAATCGCGAGTCGAGACGTAGGTTTAAGTGAACTTTAATAATAATCTCATTGATATTTTGAAGGTGGTAGGGCCACGCAACAGCCTCGGCTGTTGTATGAATGGGCAGGCCCACCCGGGTAAGTACCGCGACCTCACAGAAGACCAGCGTAAAGTGGAAGTATGACAAATACTTTCGCGTTTCGTCTGGTGAGTGAGGTAGCCGGAGCCCAATTTTCAAAAGGTTGTCAACGCATCTGTAACCCTCGGGTGTATCAGATGTCCATGGTCGGCGGTATTCACGTTCGTTTGACAACTTTTCCGTTAAAAAAAAAAAAGACTTTTTCATTAGTTTACGTTGACAAGATCTGACAACTAGTTGCTTATTACTTCTACGCACCATATACAATACCGATGACTTTGATTACAGTGAGCTGTTGCTTATCGCTGATTCCTTTAAATACGGGTGCAGCAGACACAAAGTCCTCCCATGTCACAGTAGCCAGCGAGTTCACGTTGGACACAAGGAAACTAGAACAATCGAGGAGCAGTTGTACTGTTAAAAAGGAGAATGTATTTAATTGTTTATTCGATTACGTAAATATTATCACTCAACAACCTAAGTAATTCAGACCATATAAACCTGTCTACTTGGTCTACATTTTTTTTTAACAATAAACAATGAAGCAAAAAGCAAATTTGTGAAAATTGCTTCAGGGTCTTTTACAAACTAATTTGCAATGAGTGTCGCTAATTAAATAAACATAAACATAGACTGGTATAAATGCTTAGTGTGCTGCGAATAAACTTCAATGTGCACATCAAATCAATAGATTGATGGTTAGAGTGGTATCTAAGTTTCTTTCCCCGGTTCTCCGAGTTTCTTCCGCCGGTTAACAATCAACAAGTGTTACGCTTCAACATTGGATAAAGATATTTGAATTGGAATTTGGAGGATCCACTCACCTCAACGCGCCGTTGAACAGGCTGCCCAGGAACAGCCCCAGCATGCCGGGCAGAAACGTGAACTGGTCCTGGACGTAGAACGCGAGCACCTCGTCGGGGGCGGCGATCCTGCCGGCGAGCAGGGGATCGCAGTACCTGTACACTGCGTACAGCCCCATGCCGACCACCCAGGACAGGCTGAACAGGAGAGCCACGGCGGGGACGTTGGCTAGCAGCGTCCGCCGGACCCTGGCCTCGCTGGACATCGAGCAGTACCTCTGCACGAAGGTCTGCTGGCACCCGTAGATGGAGACCGACATGAACAGCTGGCCGATTAGCGCCGACGCGGTGTCCACTCGTACAGTCGGATCGCCGGTGAACCTGGAATTGTTATGTGTTGACTCGGTGTCGTTGCTATCATTGATGTACCGTATTAAACAAGGATCAGTATGCAATTTCAACAAAGCTCTTCAACGAAGACAAGGATCGGTCAAGGATCAGTTACATTTTACGTTAATGATTCAAAACTTAGTTTATTTGAACAAAGCTTCTTAACGATGCTTGGTGTGATTTTGTAGATCTCGTCACGTAATGAAAAAGCGTTATGACCCCTCCACTCGAATCTTAGCAACTCGCTCGCTTGATGTCTTTTTAACACATGGTTACTAAACTTAACGCGGGTGGGATTTAACAAAAAAATTAATTGTTTTTTAATATAGTCGTTAATTATTTAATGTTAAAAAAGGATTAGGTTTTTTGATATTAATTTTACTTCTTTCTTCTTTTATTATTTTATTTACTCCAAAACGCTGTCAGTTTACTTCACTGTGCTTCATATTCAATTCATAATATACAGCAAAAGAATTCCTTCTATTGCTGGTCAATTCTCATCTATTTTTAACTCTCTGAACATAATTAATTCAATGACTTCACAATAATTCTGCTATTTGAGCACGTTTACAATAAAAAATAGGAAAACATGGCAACTACAGAGTAGTTTGAATTTCTAGTGGTCTACTAATTTTAGTTCCTCACTTGAAAAAGTGTAGTCTGCCGCCGTCGACGTTATCCGTGAGGACTTTAGCTGGTCCTCCCGCTTTCACAGTTGATTGGACGATAAACGCACCGCTTACGATCACCATAGTCAGCGTTTGTATTACGTCGGCTCTGCAAGCGGACAGTAAATAGCTTAATTTAACAAGAGCTATAATAATTTCTTGTATTTACGCGATTACCCATTATAAATGAAACTAATTTTACGGATTTATCGCGTTTATTTTTAATTTTAATTCCCGACGTTTCAGACCGTACCTTGCAGTACTACTGCAAGACAAGATACAATTAGCTCCCTCCTCTCCATAGATCGGACAAAATTAATAATACAAAAACTGACGGTAGCCCGGGTTAACTATGACAATCAGACGTCTAACACCTCAGTCTGTCCCGTGACCATGAACGCTGTAAAGGGTTCGAAACGTCGGGAATTAAAATTAAAAATAAACGTAAAATTAGTTTCATTTATAACAAGAGCAATTCTAATTTTACGAGTATGAATGGAAAGAGTTAATATGGGAGGCGGAATCATACTGGAACAACATTCAGTCAAATAATTTATACACAGAACACAAGTTATACATACGAAAGACAGAACGAGGTTAATTATTAAAGAATCTTAAAATAGCAGCTTGAATATGCTACTGTTCACAAAATAAATTGTATATAAGCGATCACCCGGACCCGTTGATCTTCTTTTTTTGGTGATTAAATTAAGTATAATCTAAAATATCAAATTAAACTAATATGGTGATAGGTAGATCAAACTTCTATAATGTTGCACTGATTCTGTTATAGAAGACCGATTTCATTGAACTGCCTTTACTTTTTTAACTATATTCTATTAACACGAAGCGTATTTTGATCAAGAAAGGATCAAGAAATACTGGGTAAAGTGGACTCAGTGGCCTCGACTTCGTACCTGATGGCTGCGGCCAGTCCCCCCAACAGGTTGAACACAATGGCGACCACAGTGAGCGCTGCTGCGGACGCCCAGTGTGGCAGAGCGAGTACAGCGTGCAAAGCGACGGTGGGCGTGTACACCGTCACCGCCAAGTTCAGCGTCTGCCGGACCAGGAAGGTCGCTGCCGCCATCTGCCTGACCCAAGTGGAGCCGAAACGCATCTGCAATAAGAACAAATCCAATTCAATTACCCATATAAAGGTAAAAAAACACAATCAGCCCAGAAATGCGACTACTGGGTTCCTTGATGTCCCACTACTGAGCAAAGGCCTCCTCTGTACAAAGGGTATCAGGCCATACGTGGCCCCAAAATATTTTTCTTTGTTATTATTTCTAAGATATGCCCCACGATCAATGTTTTCTTTCACCCCCGAGCACGTGATCATTCAGCACTTAAAATTAACAATTTCAATGGTGCCGGCACCGGGGTTCGAACTAAGGTTGCTCGAGTACGGTGAATAAAAGCCGAGCGCCCGAACACTGTGCTATCACGGCTCTTAATTACCCATATAAAATATAAATTTATATTTCAAGTGAGTGAGGTATCTGGGGCCCACTTTATTAAAAGGTGGCAACGCATCTGCAACCCTACATGTTAAAAATATTTTGGGACATACTTTTACACGGCGTTATCTAGTCCCAAACAAAGCAAAGTACACTACTGGTACAGGTAAATGATAAACATACCTCAATGTATTTCTATTGTGCGTATCTTTGTAAATAAATACATATTATAGATATATGGACCCTCAGGCACTAGAAAAACACTATTTTCATCGCAGAATATTTTTGCAGTAGTGGGGATCGAACCTACAACCCTTGGCGTAAGAAACAGTGTCACTAACCACTACTCCAATTGGGTATTAATTATTAATTTTATTTATTTATTTATTTCAGCTTGGAAACATAAGGAAATTATAAACAAAACGTTCCAAAGACTGATTTTGAAATATTAAACAACATAATGAACAATTAAATAAACAACAGCCGCATATTATCTTTTAAATACAATTACATATCACGTGCCTTATCTCAATGGAGTAGGAAGAATAACCAATGTCGCCCACATTTTCCCGAACTTTTTACGTTTTTTTTTATTAGAATTGAGGCTTACAATTTCTGTCCCTTTCACTAGAGGCAGTATTTTTTATTTCATCGGCCTAAATATCTTCATCCCAATTTACAACCTGTATCGATTGTATTTAAAATAATCATCCCAACGTCAACCATAAATAGCTGTAAATAAATGTAAACTAAGACGCTGCACGCACGTGACGGTTTAGTGATTAACCAGTTTGCTTAATGTCTAACGGAGCACGTTCAATCCCTTATCTAAGAAGACAAATCGCGACCTGACAATAAAACACAATGCCTTAGGAATTTTTTTAACCTTATAAAAGTTTGATGAGGCTCATTACGGTGAAATAATTGTTTATAGGAATGTGCTGTTTGTCTCGGCATGCCCCACATGTAGACGAATCGAAGCTATGTTAAATTGTGCTTACAGAAATGCGCTCATAAATAATGTACGTTTAAAACTACTGATATTATAAATGTGAATGTAAGTTTGTATGTTACTCTTTCACGCGAAAACTACTCAACAGATTATTATGAAACTTTGTACACGTCATATTGTTAGAGACAATTAACAAAGGATTATTTTTATTAGTTGGTTACGTTCAGGTATAAGGTGTTACAGATATTTGTCGTCACTAAAATGTTAATTGCCGTTCATTGAACGTTGAGTCATATTGTGATCTAGACGAGTAGGTTTATAAGAAATACAATAACGTAAAAAAAAAGTAAAGTAACAGCCTATAGGCTATACATGTCCCATTGCTGGGCAAAGGCCTCCTCTATACAGAGGGTATCAGGGCATAGTCCACCACGCGGCCCCACTGCGGATTGGCGGACTTCACATATTTCGGAATATATATTTTTTTGTTATTATTTCGAAAATATGCAGATTTCCTCACGATGTTTTCCTTCACCGCGGAGCACGTGATAAGTCAGCACTTAAAGTTTAAAACTTCATTGGTGCCGGCACCAGGGATCGAACTCAGGTTGCTCGAGTATATTGAATTAAAGGCGAGCGCCCGGGCACTGAGCTATCACGGCTCAAGAAATACAATAATTGTTTTTATTTTTTTTCTATTCGAAACTGGCCAGCACTTGACTGATATCTCACCTGATGGTAAGTGGTGATGCAGCCGTTGACGGTAACATTGATTGAAGAATATTTTTGTTCATGTTCATTGAAACGATTTCTAGTGGTAGTCAACTTACACCGTTATGTGGTGTTTCTCGATAACAAGAAGGAAATTTATGGCCGTTGCGTGTACTTTACAGGCGTGTTTATTGCTTTTTTACAATGTGCAGTTCTGTTATTTACAAGCAGCTTAACTGTTCGTTGTGTCCAACGGTTAGGTTAGGTTATCATAACGGTTAGGTATCAGTAGCATGACACGTTTCCAATGGACCATGGTCCCACACTACACACTACACTATTAAGCAAATAATCAACTTGCTAACGGGCTCTATCATTCACGAAAATCACATACAACATATATAAAAAATAAAATATTATATGAGCGACCATACCTGTAAATACTCGTACACGGAGTTTGTGTGCAGTCGATAGTACACCGGTATGAAGAGCCAGCACACGAGCGGGAAGGCCAGTATGATCCCGTACAGGGTCTCCCACATGGCGGACCCGTAGTACACCAGCTCCGATGGGAAACCTGCAACGAGGAACGTCTTTAAGCAAACTCAGGTGCTGCATATTGACTTCATTAAAACACTCAACTATAACCGATAAGAAAACCGCGAGCTACTCTGGAGGTGGGCAGCATATTTGCTGAAGTAGGGGTGCGACTGTGGCAGGACCACGCAAATGTGCCACGCAAAATGAGTAGGTCCATCCGGGGAAGTACCACGACCTCACAGGAGACCGGCGTGAAGTGGAAGTGTTAAACTTCTGCATTTCGTGTGTGAGGTAGCCGGAACCCACGGTGTTAACTTCAGTACCATCGTTTTCCGTAGTGTATAGTGTACCTGCCTCATGCGCCAGAGATTGTGGCTTCGATACCCACTACTGGAGAAATACTGTGTGATGAAAATAGGGTCGTTTTTTAATGTGTGGGTGTTTGTTTCATAATGTATTTATTAACAACACATAAGTATGTTTCGCATTACCCAGTACCTAGTTTTGGACTAGATACTGTGTAAAAGTGTTTTCTGAAAAATTCGTGCAATTGAAATTGTATTCAACGTGCAGTAGGGAACATTCGTTGTCAAAACGGAGATATAGACATTTTAGAACAGCTCCGCCCACCGGAAAGGGTTATAACGTCTTTAGTCATCTATAAATAGCCACAAAACGTACACGAAGAATGTTTACCAGGAGGACCGGTCAGAGCCGGTCTCCTGGTAAACAACTTCGTGAGATGCATGAGCATGCTTTTATGCAACGCAATTATCGTGTAAAACTGACCTTGTTTACGACAAACGAGTCGCGCGCACTGCCTCGAGTGCTGGTCCCAGATTCAATGCCTTTAGATAGCGCAATGTTACAACTACGAAAGTCTGTGATTGTTAGTTTATCAAGTCATCGACGAAGAAAGGCGTAGTAAGGACACTGATACTCAAAAGAAAATGTTTCGAAGATAAGTGAGGTCCGCCAAACCGCAGTGGGATCGCACAGGAGACCTTTGCCCAATAGTGGGACACGGTGCTGTTACTTTTATTTACTTTTTTGGGATGTTTAATTTTCTGTTTACATGTACTCATTATAGAATAACAAATAGTTAAGGATCCGTGCAGACACTAAACCAGGATGAGCGGCACTAAAGACATTTATTATCCAACTTATAATTATGTAGTACTAGCTGCTGCCCGCGACTACGTCTGCGTAGAATAGGCTGAAGGCGTAACTTTTAGACAGAAGGACACATATACATACAATATACGCCAATCCGCATTGGGATCGCGTGCAGAGGAGGCCTTTGCCCAGCAGTGGGACAAATATAGGCTGTTACTTTAATTCAATTTTACTGCCGAAAATTCCAACCTTAACTTTCGGGTAACGCACCCGTAGCTCTAGACACCAATCAAAGCGGCCGAAGCCTCACAGCGAATAATGGATTTTTTTTTTAAAAAGTTGTCGACCATTTTCCACACTTATTAAATATAGCTGCTACCCGCAACTACGTCTGCGTAGAATAAGCTGAAGGTGTAACATTCAGACAGAAAGACAGGTATGCATAAAATATGTATATAAATCATAGCCTATATCTTATTCTGATGTAAAAGCTATATTGTTGTAAACTTTCATTAAAATCCATTCAGTAGTATTTCACAAACAACATCCATCCATACATACAAACTTTCGCCTTTATAATATTAGTAAGGACGATGAGCAAATCATTGCATACCAAATTTTAATGAGTTCCCTAATTCCCTAATAAGCGTTGCAAAATAAATTCCAATACCGGCGAACGCGTATTTAAACCCAATTAAGACCGCCCATACAATTCTACCGTGTCAAATTAGGTAGAGATATCATAATTGGATAGTACCCTATTAACTTTCTCATACGCTCAACTGATTACAGCCACAGGTGCCATAACGTCATAATGATTTTATAGTCGTTAAAGTAAAATAGTGACGCCCTTTTCACCATAAGTCGACCAAAACTTTAAGAGACACCTAAAAAAATTTAGGTGCTAGTTTCGTTTTCACCACCGCTTGAGTGTCACGCTTAAAGACTCGGTGACAAATGAAAACGGGCATAAGACTTTGACTAATAACTTTATTTTTAATCTTCTTAATAGAGACGGTCTGTGCCGATTTATCCAGACTTTTAGTATCAAGTGGTACAGTATTTTAAAAAAATTATCCATCTCAAAGAAATATTGATTCGTCTTTTGTTAAATAAGAATGGTATTTTGAACATCAAAATATCTTAAACAAGCTGTAATTGAAAATAGAAATTAGCTACACTCAAATGCTACATTATATTATATGAGGAGTTTTAATATAATTTCAAATAATTCATCATCATTCCACCATATATTGCGAATCGAACCTGCCGCCTTAAGTTCCAGTTTGATACAAGCCACTCTATCTCATTAACCATTTAACGTCGCAGGTTATGTTGCACCGAGGGAAACGTTGCTCATAATTAACATAAAATAAACAACGTACAAATGGCGATGTTTTTAATATTGTAATAAATTATTTGTAAGGATGATAACACGGTCGTGAGTAATGGACACGATGCAACGTATTCCCCGTAATGGAATTCACCCGATAACGGTAGAAGTCAAAGCACTGCGTTTGAATGGACAAGGCCATTCGATTGGCATCCTCACTCAGTCTGTTTAAAAATAGTTTTAATGTAGTTCCGTGTGGTTTGGCGGTGGTAACAATTGGGTTACTTGTGTTGGCGTCGAAGATTCGAACCGCACTGGCATACGCCAACGAATGCAGCGTTTTTTCTGCTTCTAAAAACTGACATGAACTAAGCAAATAATTTGTGATATAGTATTACAGCAGATCCTACTATAACTAAGAGAGATTAAGATTATTAACATTTTTAAAACATTTTTGTTATGCGCAACATACAAACATAAATTTCAAGGCCGCACAAATAGTCGGCCCGTGTGGAAATCCAACCAACGACCCCCGGCGCCGGAGTAAATACCTTGGCCACTGCGCCTTAGAGTTTAAAATTTTCAGCTGAATGTTTAAAAATCTTCACTGCTTGTCTATCTGTCTGTTTATTTGTTTGTCTGTCTGTCTGTTCGTCTGTCACCAGACTGTATCTCATGAACCGTGATAGTTAGACAGTTCAAATTTTCACAAATTTTCTGTTGCCGAACAACAGACCAAAAAAAAACAGAATAAAAGTATATATGTGGGGGCTCCCATACAACATACATGATTTTTCCACGTTTTTATAGATAATGGTATGGAACCCTTCGTGCGCGAGGCCGACTTGACTGGGCCGGTTTTATTGTTGTTGATTTTTTCCTTTTTTTTTTAAATTTGTATTTGAGTGACATATTAAGAGGTTTTTCCTTTTTCAATTATAGTTAAGTACTCACATCGCTGAGCAATGTGACCGCCCAAACAAAGCCACGTGGTTAAGCCGCCACGTGCTCTTCGATTGCGCTGCACGCGTGACAACCAGGATTTGAAGCCTCATGTCGCCCACGTATAGCTGGGCACGTGCTCGGAATTCAAAACCGCCTTATTGTCCAGACAGGAGTGGCGGCTGCTGGCTTTCCGAACATGCTAATTATTGAGACATCGAAGGTCACGTGTATAGGACATTTAAATGTGTTCATTATTTAGGGACCGAACGGTAAGGATACATGCATAATACCCGTTTTCACCATCGATCCCTAACTTCATGGGACCACCTAAAAATTTAAGTGTCAGGCCAAAAATCAATTATAACAAGCTCTTATTTTTAAGGTACCGCTTAAGACTTTAATGCCCGTTTTCACCATCAATCACCCTAACTTTAATGGACACCTTTTTTGTTATCGGGGGGGAGGGGGAAATCTTCGAAAGATACCCTGTCACCATACATGACAGGGTTATTTGGGTTTCTTACCCACTTAAACCCCCTTGGTGGCCAACTTCCTTACTTTTGGAGGGACTCCGGGATCTCCCATGGAACGCACCGCCTGAGCACGCCTCGTAGAAGGATAAACCTTCCCCGATTCCCTCACCCTCTTGTAGGCCACCTTTTAGTCGCCTCTTACGACACGCAGGGGATAACTTAGCCCTAGAGGGCTCACCCCCGGGACTACAGGGCTCATAGAATATGGAGACCTAAAAAATTTAAGTGCTACTTCCGTTTTCACCACCACTGTAGTGTCACCTAAAGTGGTAACGGGCATTAGACATCTTAAATAGTCTTCTGCTTCTTTGTAAGGCGTCCATATAAATTAACCACTATGAAATTTGTTCAAGGAAATAAAAATATTGACTGTTGAATCTCAGTACATACTTGGAAATGTTACCTATGTCCATAAAAATAGGAATGAATGTTCAAGACAGAAATGTGCATGATATAAATACTAAGTTACATTTTAGGCAAAACTAGACTACGAAGAATAAATAATCTTTTATGGTACAATGAATACCTTATTACTACAAAATCCCAGAAAACATTCAGAATGAATCATTTGCTAATTTCAAAATAAACGTAAAATTATGTGTGTGTGTGTATGTTAAAGGCAATTATAATGTTCGTGATTATTTTAATTATAACACACTGGAAATGAATTGATCGCTCCAGGTTCTTTCAAGAAGACGAATATATTACAAGCATTTCATTGTCAAATAGTGATAATAAACCCGCTGAGTTGCTTTCACCGGGTTTTTTCAGTGGCTATTTTCTCCGAACCATTAGTGGTATTTTAACATTCAATAGGTAAGCGTAATGCCTCCATATTGAACATTTGAATTGAATTCGAAACCAACTGCGCTAAACGGCCGACATCGTCACCGTGGGGTAAAGGACTTACTGTACTGAGGCGCCTGGTTCGCTGGTGCCACATTCACCACCACTTTGTCCAACAATGGCTGGCACGTGCCCCACAGTTATCGGTTCTTATCGCAGCGATCACTTGCTCTATTCGAGCTTTACTATTTTAACGCGGCGGGTTATTTATGCGGGATTAGGAATTATGATGAAATTCTTTTCTTTGGAGATATTCGCGGGAAC